TCTTGATTATGAGAAAGCTTTTGATCAAAGGCGATTCTTTATAAGCTTACCACAACATACTAGAACATACTTATGTAACCAGAACAATTCTTTATAAGGTTTGGTTACTCTGCTATGGTTACATGTTACCAAAGCATATGTAGCTACATCTAACAAGGCATTTATTTATAGGCTTTTTAAAACATACTATAACAAAACCAAAACATCCTAAAATTCAAAATCCATTTAAGACATTCCCAAATTTAAATTTGACGTATGACGCTGTCACATGGTCCAAGACAGGTTTACTTCCGCCATACTGCGTTCACGAATCCTTCAAACAGCTAATCGTAGTTTCAATCAACGTTTTTTCTATTTTTATGTCGTTTTCAAACTAAATATATTGTACATATTAAAAATTAAACATTGGTTGCTTGTGCTCAACGTATTTTTAGCAACCTAATAGATATTTATATGAAGAAATTATCTGAAATAAACAATGTGCAGGGTTGTATTTGAGATATTAATTGTGCTTTGAGTGAGAGTGGTGTAACCATATTAGGATTTTGTAAAGATAAATTTGCTGCAGTTTGCGCTCTTGGCTTATCAGAGAGTTATGATTATATTAACATATTATAACAACTTTAATTAATTTAAAACATCTACGGCATGGAACACTATTGCGCTATTTCTTTTAAAACTTTTATTAAACTAAAATGTATAGCAGGGGCAGAAGTTGGAAAGTAATTTTAAATTGTTATCGGTCTATAAATAATGTATTATAATATCCAAATCATAATTCTACAAAATTTCAACAGCTATTAAACTATTTACTCGAAATTGTTATCTATAAAATACTTTTGTACGCCAATGTATCGTGTCCACTTTCGTTAGATCAGCTTCAAACCTGTCAATTTTTGTTTATAAAGTGGGAGAACCGGCAAATGCCTTTCCAACTTCTACTATGCCTCTCTTGCTATACTTCAAATCTATGTTAATACCTAACTTAATTTCAAAATTATTGTTAATTCTATTGCACAAAATTAATGATAGGATTCTGGGAAATATCCTATAAGCTACAGAATCTGTAAATATAGTAATGTATTGTAATTATTTTACAGATTTTGGCTTGCAGATCTTATAGGTGATTGTCTCAAAATCGGTAATAATTTTAAGTAAAACTAACCTGTTTTGTTGATGTTAAATCACTTATAACACACATGAAACTAGGAAGTCAAATTAACACTCAATTTTTCTAAATGAACTAAAATTAAACAGATTCACTTAAATCACAATGAAAATTTTAAAATTTTGCAAATGGCGGTCAACTATGTTGCAGCGGTCATGCGCATGAACGGGTCTTACAACTGGGGTGCGTTCAGAAATGTAGGGTAAATCGTCCGGATGTTGTCTAAACTCTAGAAAGCGTTCCGAAATGAGGAACGTTTTATCTGAACGAATTACTTCAGCCTATTTAAAAGAAAAGCGCGTCGAAAAGAACCAAAAACTTGATTTGACAATAATTTGCCTTACCGTTCGTATTTATTGGGCAAAAATAAACGTTCCGATGATTGAAAATTTGACGCTCTCGATTTATGAACGCACCCCTGCTATACCCACGCTAAACCTTAAATCCAAGTTAATACCTACCTAAATTTCAAAATTATTGTTAATTCTAGTGAACAAAATTAATAGTAAAATTCTGGGATATATCCTATAAGCTATAGAATCTGCAAATATAGTAATGTATTGTTCTTTTTTTACACATTTTGGCTTGCAGATCTTATAGTTTGTCTCAGAATCGGCCCATAAAATTGGTAGTAATTTTAAGTAAAACTAACCTGTTTTTGTTGATGTTAAATCACTTATAACACACATAAAACTAAGAAGTCACATCAACACTCAATTTTAAACCATTAAACATCATTTTTTAAATACCTAAACAATGCTAAATTAACTAAAATAGATCTACTTAAATCTTAAATCACAAAAAAAAATTTAAAAATGGCAAATGTATCGTTGCAGCGGTTATGCGCATGATCAGTTCTTCTTCTTCTTTATTGGATGATCGGTTCTTACAATGGCTGATGTAATGCGTCGTTGCCACATCTATTTTTTTTTTGACTATCAAGGGAAATTATATTACTATAAATAATATAAAGTATTTTTCGCGGCATAAACTAACATGAACGTTTATGATAATGTTATTTGAACTTCTATAGATGTTTAATAAACACTTTTATATTATTACCTACTCGAAAATGATTCAAAAAATAATCTTTTTAAATACTTTCGTCCTTTCAAATTTTATCTATTAAATTTTGAGTTTCCATACTCAAACGTCTTTATTTTTGGTAAAACAAGTCAAACAAACTGATTTAAGAAAAAATCACGAGTCCACAGGACTAATATAATAAGTATTAATAATGTTAATGTCACTTCACTTTAGGAAAAAAATCGGTTGTTGCCTTTCTGTTTTGATGGAGAATGGCTAATACTCAATTCAACTGTCAGTATTGTCATTTACTATTTACCTAAATATAATAACAATTTAAAACTAATTTAATGAACAAAGATGTGTATTAGGCGTATCAACATTGATGGTCTAAGAAGTTTATTTTATTCACACAGTGACTGTCAGGTCAGAGAACCTATATATTCCCTAGTTAATAAGGAGTGAACTAAATGAATGTGAATACACTTGATACTAAGAAAGGTTTATTACGCAGATTGATCTACGTCACAGTGACATATTGTGGTGCGCAGGCGTGGCTTTTACGAATTTGAAGTAGGCATCAGCTGATCGAAGACACACGACATCATGAGATAGCGTCGACCAGATATCATACAGTTAAAAGATATTTTGTTATAATATAAACATACAGGGAAATTTGGGAATGTACATGGTATTGCCCCGTCCTTTAATTTATGTCTTCCCCTTTTTATTTTGCTGACAATACCATCAGTAAAAAGACTAGAAAACAGCATCATCTCTAGAAAGTGCTTTACGGGCCCTAGGAATGATATGTGGCCGTTTAGGGTCCTATAAAAACATTTACAATGACAAAATTGGAGTTCAATAGAACAGTAACTCTTCATCTAACATTAAACATCTGAAAAAAAAATCAATTTTCTTTTCTATCAGGTAAAATTTAATGTGAAATTATTGTTGTTTGTAAGTCAAGATTTATGACTGTAAATTTTTATATCATAGAAATTTGTAATAAAATAAATTACACTCAGTAAGATACAGGTTGTGAATAGTTTTTATGATATATATTAAAATATTATTTTGTTAGACTCGTGCAATATTCAAGACGCCGCCACTGCCTAAGCGATACTTGGATCTTGGATATTGGATACACACACATACGCACTCGGCGAGTAGAAGACCGAAAAATCAAAAAGACACTTATGATCGAACGTGTGCATATGAACCCACGTCGATCATAAGTGTCTTTTTGATTTTTCGGTCTTCTACTCGCCGAGTGCGTATGTGTGTGTATCCAATATCTAAGATCCAAGTATCGCTTAGGCAGTGGCGGCGTCTTGAATATTGCACGAATCTAACAATATTATTTGGAATATAAGTGGAATATCAGTGAAAAACACAATTGTTGTGTGCTTCAATGCAGCCCTAAAAAAAGACCCTTCTCTTGACAATGAAATAATGGTTCAAAATAGGAGAAATAAAAAGAAGAGAGAAAACAAAAAAGTTAGAAAATAGAGAAGAAATTATAAAGAAAATAGATGAAATCATCAACAAAATGGATGAAAATAGGAAAAAAAACATAAAACAGCAAATGAAAAAAGCGTAAATAACAAATATATATTTCATGAAGTAGAAAAACGACTTCCTATACAGTACCACCCCCTCCTCCAGAGGTTTCAACTAGGCCCAAAATTTATTCATTTTACCGCAGGATTTATTAAAGCTTAAATTTAAAATTTGGTGTTTTTTCTTCTTCCGTTTTCGAGTTATCTTAAAAATTCGAAATTAACACTTTTTCTCAAATATCTCGAATACGGTCCATTTTAGAGAAATTATGTATATGACAAAAATTATAGAGAATAATATCACAAGCAACTTTTATTTGAAGATATTTCTTTTCCAAACGTAAATAACAGATCTATTGCATAAAATATAAAAATGACACCCTATAAAGTACCTCCCAGATGTTCCGACTTTGCCCAAAATCTAATCAGTTCACCGCAAGCCAGAATAAAGCTTAAGTTTAAAATTTAATGTTTTTTCCTTTATCTGTTTTTGAGTTTTCTTCAAAATTCGAAATTTACACATTTTCTCAAATATCTCGAATACGGTCCATTTTAGAGAAATTATGTATATGACAAAAATTATAGAGAATAATATCACAAGCAACTTTTATTTGAAGACATTTCGTTTCCAAACGTAAATAACAGATATATTTCATAAAATATAAAAATGACCCCCTAAAAAGTATCCCCCAGATGCTCCGACTTCGTCCAAAATCTAATCAGTTCACCGCAGGCCGGAATAAAGCTTAAATTTAAAATTTAATGTTTTTTCCTTTATCTGTTTTTGAGTTTTCTTCAAAATTCGAAATTTACACATTTTCTCAAATATCTCGAATACGGTCCATTTTAGAGAAATTATGTATATAACAAAAATTATAGAGAATGGCAACACAAGCAACTTTTATTTGAAGATTTTTCTTCTCCAAGCGTAAATAACAGATATATTCCATAAAGTAGCAACACGACCCCCCATAAAGTATCCCTAGATTTTCCGACTTTCTAACAACTTGTAGAAGCTTAATTTTAACATTTTTCTCTTTATTCTTCTCTGAATTATCACGCATACAGACACACACACAAACATAAATCGTAAAACATAAAAATTAGATGTCAAAAAAAAAAAAAAAAAATCATGAATTTTATATTTTCTCATGAATATAAGTTATTATTCCTTTTTTATAAGTTTATTAATTTTAATATTTAACATAAAAAATATATAATCTTTAAAATTACATAACATGTAGGGTAAATATGTAAAAATACATGTTTAGAAAAGTTTTTGTACTGATTTTGATTAAAATATTTATGTAAACTTAGTTCAAAAAATAATCTTAGCGAACGACTTTACTATAAAGAATATTTAAAAGTATCTATATAAAAAAATAAATGAAAATAAAATAGTTCATATAGAAAGTATGTTTGATTCTTACTACTTTGTTCAGCAACATTTTAATACCTATATATGGATGGCTAAATTGTTATAAATCAATCCCATAATTTACTCAAACAATTCGAAAATCAAATAAACCAGAAAAATTTTGAAATTAAATAAATCTAACTCTTTTTTTAAACCGGTACTCAAGCAGATTCTTTTGCTTTATCGATAATAACCCTAGAAATAATCATTCTCTGAATCTGAGAAGTTCCTTCATAAATCTGATAAATTTTGGCATCTCTCATTAGTTTTTCCACGGGATATTCGCTGTTAAAGCCATTTCCTCCGAAAATTTGCACAGCATCTGTAGCACACTTGTTGGCCACGTCGGACGCGTAACATTTAGCTACAGAAGCTGCTAAAGTGTTCTTGATGCCGTTGTCCACTTCCCAAGCAGATTTCATCCAAGCCAGACGAGCGGTTTCTACTCCAATGGCCATGTCTGCCAAAAGAAATGCGACGGCTTGGTGTTTGGCGATAGGAACGCCAAAAGTTTTTCGTTCTAGAGAGTATTTGGTAGCTTCGTCTAGGCAACGTTGGGCTAATCCTGTAGCACCCGCGGCTACCTAAAAGATAAAATGAAATCAAATTCACGGCATGATTTATCGAAAAAACTATTTTTTTTTAAATATAGGTTCTTATTATATAAGAATGGGACACGGACAAACTGATAATTCTCTGATTGAACCAAAGATGCTTAATTCAATAAAATATTTCGCGTTAAAGTTGAAAATGATTGGCTTTTGCCTAAATCCAAAATTAAAAAGAAAGCTTAAAGGAATAGAATCACCGGGGAAAGTCAAACAATATCCTAAAAGAGACAACTAAAACTCTTACAGCCGTTAAACCACCACCAGTCACTTTAAGCAATGTAAAAGACTATAATGTAGTCAATAAGAATTTAAAACCTAAAAATTTTGAATACAAGACAAGTATGATGAAGAACCAACAGATTAAAAGTAATGTCAGTCTATGATGAAGAATATATATATAAAGCTAAACTGATATTTTTAAATTGAAAAACAGCTACCGGCAATCTGTTTTAGGTTGGAAAAATTCTATAAATACATTTTCGGAAAAAGAATCACAGTAGAGATAGATCACCAACCAGTAATTTCTACCAGAAAGACGCTACAAATACAAAAATTCGAAATTAATTTAGTTTACAGACCAGGGAAAGAACTTCTTCTAGCAGATGCACTTTCCAGAGCTTATCCAGAAAATGATAAATTCACAAATTATCTAGAAAACGATATCCAATCCCATATGTTTGTCTTGTAGATTATAAAGTTAATGCTACTGTAAAAGGAATTAATAAAACCAACATATAAAAAAATACTCACTGGTGGCCTAGTAGAGTCAAATGTAGCCATAGCAATTTTGAATCCAGCACCTTCGCCAATTAGCACATTTTCTTTAGGAATGCGAACGTCTTCGAAAGTTATGCCTCTTGTGTCTGAAGCTCTTTGGCCCATATTTATCTCCTGTTTGTAAACATTCATTAACACTGATAAAAATAATTTTAAAAAATGTTACAAACCTTTCTTCCAGGATTGACACCCGGCCATTCTCTTTCGACGATAAATCCAGTAAATGCTTTACTGGCCGGTGCTTTTGGATCGGGATTAGTGCGAGCCAATACGAAATACCTAAAAAGAGAGTAAATTTACAGAAATGTTTCTTTAAATTTAATCGATTAAAGAATAATTTGAAGACACTGGAGCAGAAAGTCGACAGTTTTCCCCAGATCTCCACAGAATTAAACTCAAGAAATTGGAGAAAAAAATTTACGGTGATAGACAAAGAATTAAAAAAAAACAGAAGTTGTGCTTATGCTACAGTTGAAACTCAAAGAATCGCAAAGTTATAAATTTAGAAGTGATGTTAAAAGATGAATTTAAAGTTCACTGAAAACTGTCCAAGAATTAATTAAACCAGAATCTTCCCTTTGAACTCACTGAAATAAAAGTGCAGGGAATACTAGCTAGATCACTTGATATCCTAATATTTGGTATTCCAGAAACCACTGAAGAAGATAGAGAAGAAAGAATAAGAAAAGAACAAACCAAGGTTGTCGAAGTGCTATACCAGTGCAATGGAAACATTGTATGATCTCTAAACTATACAAAACCTAAATAGAATTTGCAATGCCAGTTTGGAACCCATAGTTTGTTAAGAAATAGAAATGATGGAAAAAAGTCCAAAGAAAGATAACTAGAATCCCTCCAGAGCTTCAGGGCTGTAATAAATAAATTATCACCTTTCAAATGTTATTATATTTTATTAAAATGTACCACTTAGAGATTAGAAGATTGTTTGTATCTGTAATCTACTATATATAAATAAAAAATATGTTGTCCTACTTTTTCTAGCTAATTATACTTTTCTGCACGTAATAGAGAGTACGGTATTTTTATTATTACTTACCAATTGGCAACACCTCCATTAGTGATCCACATTTTCTGTCCATTGAGGATCCATTCATCGCCTTTCTTTTCAGCGCGCGTTTTAAGACCGTTAACATCGGATCCCGCTCCCGGCTCAGTCACTGCATAGGCAGCAACCAGTGGCTCTTCTATTAACCTTCCTAAATATTTTTTCTTCTGCTCTGGATTACCTGCTACCAGTACTGGCGTTTGCTAAAGAAAATGATGACAACTATGTAAATATAGGGTTTCTTTCCAGACCTAGCCTAACAGGACTTGTTCAAGTCCTGGAATAGATGCAATCCCACCAATTTTTCTTAAAAAAATATCAACACAAACCGTTGGAACAATAGGTTTCTTTCTTAATAATTCAAACCGCATCTCTATCTTCATTTAAGTCTATTTCCGTCACTCTTATTAAAGCAAACAAATCAAATGTTCAACTGAGTTAGCAAACAATGTCATTGTCCCTCCTGCCAAGTTTATGAGATGTTCTATCGACCAATAGAAATTTAACATTGTATTTTTCTCACGCAACACAAAAAGATGCTATAAGCTGATATACAATTACAAAATATTATGTAAACTAGTAGATTAAGTGCAGTGTTCACAAATGTTAAAAGTTTATCAAGATCTAAATAAAAACATGTTTAATTTCAACATCAGTGAAGGTACATTATAGTTCACCAGAAAAGAAACTCCATACAAGACAACAAATGGTATATTTTTGTAAATAAATAATCTTTAAAAAGCTAGTACTTACTCCTAAACCACTACCTTCCAATGCAGTTTTTATTCCTGTGCATCCATATGCAATTTCTTCAGCTATTACACATCCATCAAATATACCCATACCCATACCACCTAAATATTTTTTGTGAAATAAAATTAATTCCATCCAATACAATTTCAAATAAAAATATTACCATATTCCTCAGGTATGTGACTATTAGTCAATCCAAGGCTCCAAGCCTTTTTGAGAATGTCAAAAGGATATTTTCCAGTTCTATCATATTCAGCTGCAACTGGAATAATTTCTTCTCTAGTAAATTTCCTTGCTAGATCTTGAAATTCTTTTTGAGTATCATTTAGAGCTGTAACAAAAGTTATAAAAATGACGAAAAAGATGATATCAATCATTTGAAGTAACAGAAAAAGCAAAAAAAAAAGATCATATAATGAGGGTTCAAAACAAATCTAGAGACTTTTTAAAGGGTCTATTTTTGTTAAAATGCAAAATAAACAAGGAATCAAACAAATATTCAAGGAAATGAAAGAGATGACTACAAAAAAATGCCTATTTAACAATGAACATGAAGATATATATCAATGAAGATAAGCCAATGAGTAGGAGAAAAGGATATAAGGCAACTTTTTATCTAAATGGTACAATTTTCCTAAAGAAAAATGATAAGAACCAATGAATAAAAATAAGTTCAGAATATGATCTCCAATAGTAGTTCAAATAAAGATAGATCAGTAACCCAATGGAGCTGAATGACATTTTACATGATTACTACTTTGATAAGTGTGAGACGTGAGTTAGATTAGCATGATTCATGTCAATATAGGTAGAATGTATGAAATTTGATCAATTTTTAGTTTTCCTAGGGGCATTAGATAAATATTTTGACCATCGAGAGTCTAAATGCTTATTTATTTTCAGTACATTGAGGTTTTATTTTCAATAATAGTGATATAAATGATATTTTTTCGGAATTTTATGAATTTCTTAACTATGGTTTTCACAGAAAAGATTTGAATCATCCAATTTCCCTTCTTACTTAATTTAAGGAGGTTAATTTCTCTTAAAAAAAATATCAGAAGTCTAAGAATGCTACAGACTATTTAGAATTTAGTAAGGTGAGAGCACAGGGCCAAAAATTAACACAGGATTAATAATAACTGTCCAGTTATAAGTGTGGTTAAGGTATTTGAAAAGTTAGGACCATTTCCTAATACATTAATGATTGGTCCTGATGGTATCCCTAATTTGGCTTTGAAGCAGTGTAGATATTCATTATCTCAGCCTTTGTGTTATTTAACATATCTTTAGCTACTGGTGTAATTCCAGCCATTTGGAAAGAAAGCTTTGTTTCTCCTATATTTAAATCAGAGTCAAGATGGTATTAAAAACTATCATAATGTATATAAACAGTCTTTAATCCAAAAGTTTTTGATAGTTTAATGTATAACTATTTGAATTGGCAGTACAGAGATTATAATTGATGAGGAACATGGCTTTAGAGGAGGTCGTTTTACAGTAACCAATCTGCTTATATGTAATAGTAAACTGTCAGACACCTTAGAGAGAGGGTATCAGGTTGGTGCCATATATACCGACTTCTCCAAGTCATTTGACAGAATAAATCACTGGTTATTGATTGAGAAATTAAAAAATATAGGTTTTTTCAGACAGTCTGGCAATAGGAACAGGAATTGGCAATAAACTAAGCTCATAAAACTTGTATAAAAGCCTGTAAGAATATCTACAAGTAAAATTATAAATCTTATTCTCTTATAAACATTTGCTTTAAGAATATTCTTACAGCTTTTATAAACCTGTCATGTACTACTTGGGACCCCTTTAAAGTTGAAATTATCAAAAATCCTTTCTTACATTTAGTAGGTCAGTCAGGACAAACAATTTCATAATTCATAATTTCAATTTTATTTTGGTAATGTTTGTTAAAATATTCCAGTTCCAGTTCAATTTGTGTAAATTCTTTACTAATACATACTTTTAATGAACTCTTAATTATAGATAATCTCAAGGCCACAGGTCTTATTTACCATTGAAAGGTTTAATTAGTAAAAAAAAAGAAATTTAATTTATCTACAATTTGAATATTTAGTTTAATTGTTAAGATAAGAGAAATAAAGTATTTTTTAATCCTACAAACAAGAAAATTTAGTAAACTATTTCATCTATACATTTTTTTAATCAAATATAGTTTGATATGTTGTCAAGATAAATCTGCAATTCACTTTTTAGATTTAGAAAAATTAGGTAATAGGTAACAAATCCAATATTACCCCTAAGAAATAATGAAAATATTTCATATTTTTTGGATATCTAAACAAGTTTCTGAACTTTAAAACTGATTCTCTCACACAATTAAAATATAATCTTATCAAACTATTTTTTATAGATAAGGTAGTTGGAAAAACAAGCACTTGTGATTTATTACACATATTATTTAATGGAAGATATTAAGTAATAAAGGTGATTTCTTTCAAGTATATACGTTTTAATATTATAATTACCAAGAATATTATGGGATTAAATTTCTCAAATAATAATTTTTAATGATTGTTAGTTATTTAATCATTTTAGGTACTGAAATATATAATCCAATTAGTTTTATAATTAATTTTCGATATTTTTTTTATACTTTTAATTGATTTACAAACTATATAGAAATGATTAATTACAAATTAATATATTTATAGAGGTAATAAGGCAAAGCACTTCAATGGAAAAAACTATTTTTTTCAGTCAGTAATCTTTAATAAGGAAACTAGTTCATATAATGCCAATAAAAACTTTTCAGAAATTTGTACTGAATATATTACTGTTTTAAAAGTACTATGTATTAAGTCTTCCTATATTAATAAGGTGGCATGCCATAAAATATTGGTGTCATCTGCAAAAATGTTGAATTATCCACCAATGTTTAAATTTGCCATGTCATTAAAATAAATAAGGACAAGAAGAGGACCCAAAACAGTTCCTTGAGAGAACCCCACACTTTTTAGGAACTTGCTAATCCAAAGATACTGTTAGATATCTACCTGACAAATATAACCCAGCTTTTTGATTTTATATTAACTGTAGATGCAGTTTAATAGATTTGGAGAAGAATGATATGCATACATCAGTGTGTAAACATATTCTTTATTTAATAATTTAATTATAGTCATTATAATATTCATATTACTGTTTCATGCAGCTAATACCTACTTATCGAATATAATTAAAAATTTCAAATAAAAACAATGTACATAAAAGCTTTGTAAAATGTATGTATTAATTACATAACATTATGCTAGGTCTCAATTAAAGTACATGAATAATATCTATAATAGTGCATTAAAAGTATTATTAGAAATTATTGATAAAAATATTATTATTAGTAATTAAGATTAAAGTATTAGGGATATATGATTTTTGTATAACAATACAAGCTGGACATTTGTGTAATTATTTCAAAGGATATTCAAATTATTTTTATAACAACAAATTTGTATTCTTACAAACTGAATAAATTCTAATTATAAATTAAATTTAGTAGTACCTACAATCAATGAGATTATATATATACATTGGAAGCATTTAAAAAGATTTACAGTCATTTTGAAACATAAAAATTAATGTTTTCTATTTAATTTATTTTCTCGATTAGAAATATTCACATTAATATTTCCCTTACGCTAGAAAAACGTTGCAAAAATCTGTAAATAGGTTATTATAAACAATTCACCCTCACAATAGCAGTAGGTATAAGCCAAAATATTCTACACATTGTGACTTTTGGAAAAATTATGAAAAGGAACCCTTAATTTTTAAATATACAAAATCTATTTATGGTACGTATTTTTGGTAATTTTGTACTTTGGACCAACTTATTATCTATCTATAAGTAGGTAAGTAAAGGTTTAATATATACTTGTACCTACATATGATCTGTAAAATAATGAATACTCCTTACCAAAATTATATCCTCCCACACTCGAAGCTGAAGAACTGTGCTTTACTAAATTTGGATTAATTTTAAGACCATTTTTGATTAAATTTCTTGAAACCTAAAAAAATATAAATAAAATACCTATTTATAATAGGTATGTACCTATTTTTTACTAACCTGTTGTATACAAGACATTCTGAAAATAAAAACGACTGGAGTCCAATCTTAAATTGAACCACCCTGAATAAACTTTGAGAGGAATTTTGTACTGTGTACAGCAGTTCGTTTTAGTTGTTATATGTATTTTTATTTAAAGTATAAAAAAAATAATAAATTTAAACTTTGAACTTTGTTCGACGATTCTACCACCACCACCTTCATAATTATACGGAAGACAAGGAATATGTCATTTGTCATTGTATGTCATGTCGTCATCAATCTAATAGTGACGGAAGTGACCACCATTGGTCACCATTATTGCGTTTAGAAAGCTCGCACGGCTCGTCTTGACCATAGTAATCTATGGTCTTGACCCTATTCCAATGTATGTGGTCTGGGGCCCAATTCCTGACGCCTTCGTTAACTTATCGCATGCGATAACGTATGCGACTTGATGAAAGTGTATTCCTGAGCTGGCGGCATTCACAAAGCACGTATCTTCGCGGCATTCGTCAAATTTATTAACGCGTGCGCTAAGAAATGATGATTTTCAAAGAGCGCTCATGACCGTTCGACAACCACTTTATCGCATTCGTTTAGGTGAAAGTAAGGTTATAATTGTCAATTAATCCTGCTTTATCATACGTGATTCTGATTCATATTTCTATGTATTGGTTTTGGTTATGTTTTGTGATTTATTGGGAAATATTTATTTTTAATTTGACTTTTTTGAACATTTTATTAGTTACTATAGAATATAAAAATTAAACTTTTTGTACCGTGAACTCTTTTATTGGACGCTTAAGTGCCAGTTTATTTTGGTTTATTTTATTTAGTATGGATGATATAGAAGAAATAGGAGTTTTACAGGCACTAAACAATGTTATAAATTCTACTAAAGTTTCACGCTGTTTTTCCGTTATTCGTGAACCCCGCTGTTCCATTTTTAATATTCTAAATCTAAACCACTCCAATTCTCAAGTCCAAAATACAAATAATCACAGTTAAAACATCCAAAAACCAAAAATTATTAGACATCTGCAATCCATTTAATTTTATAATTTTTGCATTTTTGGCAATTTTGACATATGTCAATGCAATTATCTCATATTCAGTGATACCATCTTTGGTATTCTCAATCCTCATTGGTTAAGACTATGCAATAATCAAAGACTCTTCGTTAACACGTTCGACTTGATTCGCGATTATCGCATGGTGTTCAGGAATACTAAATTGCTGTCGTATGCGTTAACGACCATGCGTTACTTAGCGCATGCGGCAGTTAACGCATGTTTCGAGAATTGGGCCCCTGGCGCGCCGTACGAGGTTTCTAAACGCACTCCATCATTAAGAAATAAATTGAACTACGAATTCTGGAGTGCGTTTAGAAACCTCGCACGGCGCGTCTGACCGCATATATTAGAATAGGGTCCAGACGCGCCGTGCGTGGTTTCTAAACGCACTCCTGTCTGTGTCTGTGTGGAGTGCACATAAAAGATGATACCGGTTACCGGTTGCTCGCACTGACATTGACATTTAACACAAAAATTGACAAGTGACGCAGCTTGACTTTGGCGCTTGTGTTGCCGTTTGCTCGTTTTCGGTGCCGCTTGGTTTGGAGATTGCACTTTTTGTATGTTTCCGCCTGATAATTGGCGGAATTAGGATTTCCATTTATTATTTGTTTTACCCAGTTGTAACGCTGTTTTTGACGAACCTAAATTTAAGAATACTTTAAAGGTACATATTTTAATTTATATGTTTGTATTACGAATTATGATATCTAATGTGCATAGATGGCGCATATACGTATAATGGACATATTTTCCTTGAATCAACATGTATTTGTACCTACCTAATTTTATATATATTTTGTAGCATGAGCAAATATTCAGAAAATGAAGATGATCCTGAAATTTACGAAAGCTCGGGTGATGAGTGGAAGCAAGAAGATGAGGTAACAATTAAGTTTTTAAATCTTTATTAACACCAATTGAGTTTTTGATTTATGTATAGATATATTTTCTTTTATTTACTAATCTTTGATCATTCACAAGCATGATAGTATTCAAAGATATTTTCTAGAGTACCTAATAGTTCAAAGATTCAGTTTTTATAAACAAAACAAAATAATTCGTAAAATATTTGTTCTGAAGAGATGTTTTTATTAATAACACAATTTTGATCTTTGAATTTATATACATTCATTAGGAATATAAGTATGTAATTATTGAACTAGAAATTTGAAATTCTGTCAAATATATCTGCTTACCACCATCCTAATCATTTAAAAAATATGAGTAAACAAATTTAAAATATCTGTGAAGCAGTTATTATAGTGTGTGGGAATATTTTTCCTAACACTACCATTTATAAATAAAAAGTTGCTTGTTGTTTTTGTCATTGTTTCTAACACTTATTTGTCTATATTGCATGTGTAGTATTTTAACTTTGACTTGTTTTATATATTTTTGTGACTATTCTGTAACAGTTTCTTTGTATTTTAACATCCTTTAAAAATATTTTCTTACTCACTTATGTTCTTTAACTTTTGACATAAAATATTTTATTATGTAATTGTCAAATGTAGCTTTTATAAAACATTTTTGGTTTTAATACAAATGTGATCAGAATCATAATAAACCTTATAAAACCTCACATGAGGGCAACTCTAAGAAATACAGAACCACCAGCATAAATAAATAAAAAAATATATCTATCTGTAAACTACAAGAAAATGATTTACAACTATCTTGACAATTATTTGGAAATGTACCTACAATGTAAAAGTTCAACCACTTTGTGTTATATCCAACATAAATCTTTACCTGCCTCACAAGATAATGGATATTGATTCAATCTATATACACCAAGTGTGTGCACATATACACAGATGCCCACCACATTGACATCAACTCAAATGTACACCTTATTACCAACAACTTATAATAGACTCTTTCATATATAATGGTATCAAGATGTACAATAGGCTATCACATACTTTGATAGATATTGAGTCACAGAATTGTTTTAGAAAACTAGGCCTTATTATGATATTACAGAATTTTATAATGATGATACACTGTGATATTTGTTTTATTTTAGATTAATGTTAATTTATAAAAATGTTTGTTTATATTTTAATGACTATTTATTTGTGCTTTGTATACAATATTGTGTTTGTCAATAAGTGTTTTAACTTGCATAATAAACATATATTCTCTCTCAAAGAAATCTGTAACCATGATATCTATAACAGGAACGACCAGAAAGCAGCATCAATGGGAGAGAGCTTATTAAGTGATGGTATCCTTATATATAAAGGGATCCCTGAGAGATTTCGATGTCTACCAACAACATCCTTTATAACACAACTAAATAAATTGACATTTCAAGGACAATCAATGAACTAACTTCTTTTGATATATATTGTGTAATTTTTCCTTATATGAATTTAAATGTTAATTTTTTAAATTTTGTCTGGTTTTCTATGTAATTGAAATATCTGCCTTGGTCTGGAGAGCTCAATTACAATGAACTGTGATTATTTCTGTTGTGATATTTTTTCTTTCATCTTTTGTATAAATTTTTTAATTGCAATAAATAAATAATAATATGAGTCATTGTTTTGCACAACTCTGTCATTTAAAAATTATGTTATGTAGGAAAAAACCAGCAATAGACGATTGTCTCAAAGATTGAGCAAAAAACCAAGGAAGACAGTAGTGGAAATTGGTAGCAGTGATGAAGATTCAGATTCAGAAAACGAACGCAAGAGAATGAAGGCTAAAAATGGAGTTGCTAAAAAAGTTAAATGCAAGAAAGAAGATGACGACGACGATTTTATAGAAGATGAAGGTGAAGATGAGGAAGCCAAACAAAAATTCGAAAAATCGTCACAAAATTCTGTGGGCAAAATAATTTCAACTACAACAACAGCAACTGTTCCTGCTTCTAGAGGAATACATAGAAAATTCATACCAAAAACTATATTTTCTGAAGATTATGCAGTAAGTTGTTTTTCTACATCAGTATTACTAATAAAATAGGTAACTAATACATATTTTAATTAAAGATTGTGTACTCTATACTGGCTGTTATTGAAATACATCTTAAAAGTGTATGATATTTTAAAATGAATGGTACCAATTTTAGCACATATCAAAAATTCAATAAAACTTTTTTTACCACAAAATATTTATTGTATTTTAATGTAGACATTTGGGAATTATGTATGGAATGACACATCTAGCAAAAGCTGACACATGTATCCTTGATATCCCTATTACTTACAGACAGAAGGGGATGCAGTAGATCTTTTAGGTTGCAGTGTATCTGATACCCCACATAACATACCTATGTCACAAGTTAGGGACAATAAATTTGATTTAAGGTTCTAATTGTACATACAAGAATAAAAAATTACATTAAAACATACTAAAACATATTAAGACATATTAAAACATATTAAAACATATTAAAACATATTAAAACATATTAAAACATATTAAAACATATTAAAACATATTAAAACATATTAAAACATATTAAAACATATTAAAACATATTAAAACATATTAAAACATATTAAAACATATTAAAACATATTAAAACAAACATATTAAAACATTAAAACATATTAAAACATATTAAAACATATTAAAACATATTAAAACATATTTAAACATATTTAAACGTATTGAAACAAACATATTAAAACATTAAATCATTAAAAATTAAAAAATACACTTATTATTATTATTCCTAGAGCTTTTATTTTAAAAATTTTCAGACGGGGTCGTTTGTAATTCTTAAAAAAGACGCGCAAGTCGGAGATCCCTCCAAGCATCCTTGCATATGGAGAATTGATGGCAAAGCTTTGCTACAAAAATATGAAGCTTTTGATGAAGACGGCAAGGTTAGACATAAAAACACGTCAATTGTAAGTATATTAGTTTAATTAAAATTTTAATCATACTGTTTTTGTTTGTTTACTGCTTTATCAAAAAAACCATAATGAACTTGGACACTTTACACTTAGGGGTCTATCAAAACGAAACAAACACAAATATGTAAACCTAGTTAATTTAATATTTATCTTTGTAAAAGAACTATAACTATTTTTTTATTTTTCCTAATAATATTAATATAAAAGTTTAGGTAATATTTTATTGGAATTTTGTTACTCTTTTATTATTATCATCTTGTTTTAATACATTTGTTGTTTTTTGTTTGTTTGTTGGTTTTTGTGTTATTTTTCTGTAATTTTGACATATTTGTTGGTCACCTTTTTTATGAATTGTTATCACCTTTCTTATTTCACACTCTCGACATTTTTCCTTTCTTTATATATTTTCTGAATTAGAGATAATAGTCTTTCTTTCAATTCGTTGCCTCCATATTTAATTAGTTCAATGATAATTTTCCTAGTGATTTTTTTTATCTCTTCTCTTGTTCTATTTCTTCTTCCTCTATCATCTCAGATTCTGCCATCTTTAGATCGATCAAGAGATCTTTAAAGTAATCTTTTCTGCTTGTATTTTTTATCTTCTTCTTCTTCCAGTATCACTTTTATTTGTTACTCCCTTGCCTTTGCAGATTTTGTTCTGTCCTCTAATTTTCTTGTAAAATTTTTCTTACTTCCTTTTTGTTATTATTTCTTTGTCTATCCATTTTTTTTACTTTCTCTTATAAGTGTTTTGGTTTGTTTTCTCAGTTCTTCATAGGACATTTTATCTTTTATTTTTATCTTAGCCACTTAATTCCTATTTGTACCATTCTTTTCTTACTTTTTTTGGTCCAAAGTTTGAAATTTTTTATTAATGTTTTATTCTTATAATATCAAAAATAAAATACTTTAATACTTAAGTATTGACGTTTGCTTTTCAAATAAAATGTATTATTTTTGTCTATTTTTATTGTAATGGGGTTTTCCTGTCAATAAATAAAATAAATCAATTTAAAAGAAAATAGATGAAATAATTTGATTTGATTTAATACGTAAATGCTTTTGATGAATTTTAACACGTTAAACGCCATGTGTCGCAATCATAACAGTTTGGCCAATTTGAGCGGATGTTCAGATTCTACCGTGGCGCTTAATTATATTTTAATATTAATAATTTTCTTTTACAGTATACTGGTTGGTCTCCAATGGATAAAGATCTGTATGCTCCCATTACTGTCGACGTAATTCTACACAATAACCAGAACCTTACTGTGGAACTACACTGGGACAAATTAAAAGACATTAATGTTGACAGTGATTAATTAAAACTATTTTTACTTAATTTCGTATTTCTCTTTTTATTTTTATGACTATGTTAAAGATATACTTACCTAAGTTCTAATAAGTTCTTTGTGTAGTTTTTGTTTAAAATTTTTATATGTTCTTTCTTTTTCTCATAATATGAGGTAATAAAAAAAAATTTAAATAGTTTTAATATGTAATTATTTTGGAATATTTTATCTTTTATAGTGTTAATTAATAAGTACATCTTTAAGTTTGTATCGTATGTAGTGGAATACAAATAAACCAATTTTTTATGAGAATCTTTATATTTAGAAACTTGTTTTATAGTTAAAATGGTTGATTTTCAAAAACTGCTGATATTAATTTGATGTATTTGTCAAATATCACAATAATAGATATTTAATATCAATTATGTAAAAATAAATAAAATTCGATGGTTATGCTTTAACTTACATTTTATTTATGTTATTTTGAAGATTGTATTAATCTAAAAACTGCAAAATTGATGGTTCCAGCCTTCTCAAGTTTGCATAGATGATCTTCACATTGCTAGCCTTGTTTTTTTTAAAATAACCATTTTGTGTCACCTTTTGATTAGGTTTGCATAATTTTTTGAACAATTTATACAAGAATATTTGGGTCCTTTACCTTTTAAGTTTGTCAATGTCAAAATATATGGGCACTTTTCCCCCTTAAGCCTGCCCATGTAAAACTGTTTATACGTTTTAAGGCAAATCGACCTTCAGTTTGGGTTTCCGAAATGAAGATAATTAATTTAAAATGTCGTAATCGACTTACTGACGCTGTTCTGGTAAAACGACGCAAATGCAAAATTATAAATTTTTCAGGAGAGACGAAAAATGAGTATTATTACTTCCAAATTCGGGCACATAAATCACAAAGAACTTGTCCTAAATACTGATTCATGTGTCATTGTTTTCCAAATGTTAATGTTTTAAAACTGACGCAACTACCGTCTAGCAGCCGCGAGTGAATATAAAATTACGCCGTTATACCGTGTAGAGAGACTTATTTGGAAACTAATGATATGTTAAAATGTCATAATTTTGCACTTGCGTCATTGTTTTACCGGAACAGCGATATGTCATCATACTTGCTATTTGGTATCAGGATAACAGAAGAATGAGGTATTTTAAAAATGTTGGATAAATTAGATTCCTCAATCAAATTACTGTTTAATTAAAGGTAGCGTAAAATTAAATTCCCTCATCTAATAGTCATTGTAATTCAGGGTAACGCAAAATCGATGAATTTATAAACTTGAATACCTCCTAAACGGCTTAGGATAGAGACGAACAACATAGAACACTTTAATCTATCTGTTCGGCTCTACGTTTTTTTCTTAAAAAATTTTGAATCCTCTAACAGGATTAGTTTAAAAGTTGAAGCTCATTTCTTAAAAAGAATTTAACGAAGAGAGACGCAGACATTAGTTATACATTTTAAATCATTTACTAGCATTGGAAACTCCACAAGAAGGTAAAGAAAATAAAAAATATTTTAAACAAATTTTTATACAAATAAAATTACAAAAATTCGAAAATAAGTGATGATAACTGTAAAGTTGTCGCACACTTAATGCTTTGACCTTAAAATTTTGACATTATTTGATCTACCTTGCACGCTCACTTAGTAACACAAAATAATCACTGTCTTAGAACTAAAAATGACAGTTGGATATTGCCTTTATTAGATACTTATGTTGATAATGGGGTGTTAATACACTGCGACCTAAAAGATCTATTGTGCCCCCTTCTGTCGCCACTGCACTAAGGAAATGTCTCAATGCCTATAGCGACCCTTCCAATCGTATTTTCTCAAGGAAGTGTAGGATTTGAAGTGGCTTCAAGTTAGGTAAGTCTCCCTCTTCTATTTGATATCCTCCTAGATATAGTGCCTTTGGATTCTGGAGTGCTACACATTTAGTTAGGATGTGCATGGAGGTTTCGTCCTCCTCCTCACAGAATCTGCACTCACTATCCTCTACTACTCTCAGTTTACTTAGGTGTCCTTTTAGTCGGCAGTGCCCGGTAAGGATCCCTGTTACAATACGTAGCCTGTTCTTGCTCAGGCAGATGCAGGCTTCCGATCTTTTTTGGTTATATTCACCCAGAAGTATCTTGGCCTGTCTCAGCCCCAAGAGATTGTTCCAATTATCGGTTCTTCTACTACCCAATTCTTTTTTAATCTCTTCTAATATTATATTACTGCTGATACCGCAGAACGGCTCAGGTCCTACAAAGGGTGTTTGAGCCCCTTTCCTTGCAAGACTATCTGCAATCTAGTTACCCTGTACCCCGTTATGTCCCGGGACCCAAGTGAGAGTAACTCTATTTTTCTCGCCTAGCTCATTCAATTGTTCTAGGCATCTCCATACCATTTTTGAGCTGATTACGTAAGAACTCAGCGCTTTGATGGCTGCTTGACTATCGGACATGATGATAATCTCTTGTCTATGATAGTTTCTCTCGATGTTAAACTGGATACACTTCTCGATGGCGTGAATTTCCGCCTGGAAGATGCTTGGGTATTTTCCCAAGCTTTCGGAGTGCTTGGTTCTCGGCCCATACACTCCTATTCCAGTTCCTTCTATGGTTTTGGAACCGTCCGTGTACCACTGAATAGCACGTCTTTCGGTTGCAAGCGCGATGGATTCTTGGCTCCATTCTTTCTTGCAGCCCAGCTCTGTGGTTTTGAAGTTTTTCACAAAACTGTACTTCTTTTGCATTTCATCCTGGGGCATGTCCCAGGTATCTTTAGTCCTGAAGCAAGTAGACTTTTGTCTGATTACTCCGCTCCTGATCATTCTATATCGTGTCCTTTTTGCCACATTCTCTATCATCAAATGTAGAGGGGTGAGGTTTAAGATCACCTCCATTGCGGCCGTAGGAAAGGTTCTCATTGCACCAGTAATGCTAACACAGGCTAGTCTTTGTACTTTTGAGATATTAGCTCTCGTAGTAACTAAACTAGTTCTGTTACTCCAGGCTATAGCCCCGTAAGTGATGATTGGTCTCACTATTGCAGTATACATCCATCGCAGTATGTTTGGGTTACATCCCCATCGTTTACCCGCCATGTTTACTAGATACTTGCTGAATGCACGTTAAGTGTAGCAACCGCACTGTGAGCATGTTATTAAAAAGGGGGGCCAACAGCTTTAGTTGAGGACGTTTAATTTTTTTATTACTTCGCCACAAAAGGGAGGACGTTTACGAAAATTTTGTTTGAGCACCTCTATTTTTTTAGTAATGTCAAATAGAATAGACTTGACACTTTTTATTAAATGCCCCTGGGCCCCATCATGGCTCTCAGTGGCCCTGGCCTTCTTTTATCAAATCTAGGTTTAATTAAAAAAGTCATGATGTGGCTATGTAACAACAGGTGGATACCAACAATAGTAACCTATCCTATATATTTCTGTTTATAGCGCTTCTGTGTACTACTGGTATTTTTGTATTTATCATCGTCTGAAATTTGTTGGAAAACAGTTCAAAATAGAGGCATAGCACCTACATGACACCTACAGCCGTACTTTAATAGTCAGTAAATTGATATTGAGTTTGTTTTGAGCTATAGCTGCACTGTCTTAGGCGTTAAGTGAGCGGCAACAATTAATGATAGTAATAATTAAAATTAAAAGCATATCTATACTAAGAGATCGGACATTTTACTATGGGAATGTTGATGGAAAATAGTTAAATTTTGGAAAGACATTTTTATTGATTTGTTTTTTTTACAAAAAGATACCACAATTTATTCTAAAATGCTTTTGTAGAAATTATAGACAATTTAGTTTCAGAAACGAGGTAATATTTAACAATATTTTAGTAACTTATTGTTTTTAGTTCCCTATCAATAAGCAATACTATAATTTATATTCAAAATTGTAGGTTTAAGGTTCAGATAATGGAGCTACTGCATATCTGCCAGTTACTGGAGTATCGATAATTAGTTTTCTCATTACAACATATAGAACTGCCCCTAAAATAATTTCGCCTATACCAATAAGAATTACGATGACATACGCAGGAACTGCATTTCCACCTAAAAAGAAAATAATAAATTATTTTGTATGCTGGTACTTATATTGTTGGTATGTTAAGGAAGACAAAAGTCAAGTTATTGCCTGGTTTTTGGTATGTTTGAGTTAGGTGGAAAGAATAGAATACTTTAAGTTTAAGAGGAATGTCATGTGACGGCTCATTTCTATTAACATATACCGGGTGTCCCAGATTTTTTTGCCCAGCGGATATCTCGGTTATTTAATGATATAAAATTGTAAAAAAAAATATGAATAATATTTGTCTAGTAGCCTTTTAAATTCCACTACATAAAGTTATATTCATCAATCCACCCCATAGGAACAACCCCTAACTTTTTTTTTCAAATGTCACCCCTATATTTTTTTTCGCTGATATAAATACTCAATTTGTCCCGAATACAACGATATGATTTTTGATATACTTTACAGAGTCATAAAGCCGGTAAAGACTAAAAACCAATGTTGTGGTTAAAGTCATTAATAATTAGTTTACATTTTATCATTTTATTATATTAAAAAATAACAAATCCAATGAATAGGTAAACCTCTTAATATGTTTTTTAAATAATTGAATATTTACAAAAATTGTTCGAAATGGCCCCCATTACTTGCCAAACATGCTTCAAAACGTCGAATGAGTTAACGAGTACATGACGCTGTAATCATTTCTGGTGTAATGTTATTGCAGGCTTGTACTATTTTATTTTGCAAATCTTCTAAATTCAATGGCTGTGTTTCAAATACCACGGTCTTCAGATATCCCCATAAAAAAAAATCTAGAGGCGATAAATCTGGTGAACGCGCAGGCCACCTCAAAGGGCCGCTGTTTCCGATCCACTGATTTTCAAAGCGTTCGTTTAAAAATTGGGTAACTAAATTACTATTATGTGGAGGAGCTCCATCTTGTTGCCACCACATAGCACCTCTTTCTTGTATTGGAATTTCTTCAAGAAGTTCTGGAAGGTCATTTTCAAGAAAGTGTAAGTACCTAGCACCAGTTAACGTACCTTGAAAAAAATAGGGACCTATCAGTCGTCCCTGAAATAATCCACACCACACATTTACTCCCCAGATGGTCTGAAAGTTA